TTTTGCAATTTTTTGGTATAAAATTCGTTGAATGTTGTAATCATATACTATTTGATATACTATTTGTAATTCCTATTATTATTCTCGATTTAAATTATTTTGTTTGGCACGGTATAGAAAATGCAACCTGTCAAGTCAGCTGTCAGTTTATCAGATCACTAAATGTCTTCAAAATTATTGTGCTACCGAATTGTAATAGTTATACAGGAATATCGGATATTTCACGGCAATATGGACGTCTAAAATGCGTATAATTCGATGAGGTCACCACTTGGTACCGAAAATGAATTTCTTATATGAATTACTGCTGTGTCAGAAAACTTAAATATTGTACACATCATTTTCAGACAATTATTGATCATTCCGGATCACAGAACCTTCAATTTACGTTCAGAAATGAATCATTTGAAAATTGGAATTTTTTTGATTTTTCGTATGAAATCGATGAATTGTCACTTCATGGTGAAGGTACCATTTTTTAACTTCGCATGGATTTTTTTCTTTTGCAATGTGTTATTTGGGTTCTGTTCTGATGATTTAAGCATAAAAATAAACAATACTGAAAGTATAGTGTATTTTTATGCCTTAGAAAAAAATTCAAAAAAATCCTAATTTTTCCCATTTTTGATACTTCGCCGTTGAGCCGTGACATCTCAGTTTATATTTTTTTTGCAAAAAAACGACCGATTCGGGATCAGGGGATCCCATAGCCAAGGTTATTACCCTCGCCGTGTTTGTTTTTCAATTTTTTCATATTTCTGCTACACCCTAATGCAAATGCAGAAAAACTACTTCGAACCGTGTATGAAAATATTCCGAATTCATATTTGCGTTGTACAACAAACACTGTACTGACTTGACAGCTGTCAATGTTAATTGTCGGCATAGCTTAGAGTCTCATCTAGCGACACCATAAAGATCTTTTTGAATATTTTAAAATTTGGGCGCGATTTGGATACTTATGGAAAAAGAAGCGTACTGTAGTAGGTGTTCCGCTGGACATTGCGTTGCTGCTGTGTGTGTTGTTTTGTGCTCGTTGATGCAATTTTCTGACTCTGCTTGTTCGTTTATGTTGGTTTTGCCGGAAGAATTTTTTCGTTGAAAAATTGACATTCATTGTGATTGTTTGCTGAGTGAGGATCGAATTACATTTTACACATTTGAATGCGTGATAACAAGAACTTGCTGTGTGGAAATAAACCTGACAACGTTTGCACTGAATTACTTTACTGCCTTTCATCTTTTCGAATTTGACTTGCAAGCCTTATAAAACATCGATTTCGCTCATGATTTTTTCATCCAATGAATGTGGCACTACGATTCGAAATAGAGTGTTTGATATTCGGGTTGGCTTTATGGAAACCGGTGATGTGTTGAGTTACAGTTGTCTCCTGAGGGAAACCTGCGTCCAATAGTGTCTCGTATATTGCATCGATGTTTTGGAATTCGTTCAATCCACGTAGGATGAAACATTTACTTCGTTCTTCTTTGCTTTTGAATGTGTGAAATTCATATCCTTTTTCAGCTTTTTAGTGATTTTTTGACCCGTTTCAATGTCGATTGGCTGACTACGTACCTCTTGGTTTGCGCGCATGTGGCTTGCAATAAATTTACCTTGGCCAAGTTGTCGTGTTAATGTACTGTGCAACTGCACGTCATTAAAGTAGCATACAGGCATGGCTTCCATACAAAAATTCATTTTTTTTTGATTTTTTAAAGGAAACTGTATCAAAAATTGATTGTATCTCAAAACTAATTACTTCGAATTACTCGGATTCGGTTTTCTCGTGCCAAAAAACCCTCCAATACATATTTTTGAGTGTTTGAGTCTACATTAAGTATGACTTTTGAACGAAAATTGAACTCTTTTTCATATGTATCACTCCAGGCATGAAATGTTTTTTCCATCAACCAAAGTCGCTCAAAATCTAATGATTTCTATTCCTCGGGACCCCCAATCATCCTGTAAAGTCAGATTTTTAATTAAGTTTCTACGATGAGCGCAATCTTGCTAACAAATTTTGCGTACGACGTACAGATTAACAAAAACCATGTTTAAAAACGCCAAATTCGTGTTCTCTGACAATAATGGGTAGAAAACATGTTTCTGAAGTTTTCAAAATTTTGACCGATTACAATACTTTTCACCTTACACTATGTGTGCGGTAAAGTAATTATTGGTATCGCAAAACTTATATCAGATTCAGTTTTCTCATGAATTCATATTTACGGTAAAAGATACGTAATAAATGCATGTTGTGGATCACAGTGCGGAAAAGTTCATCTTACGGATGTAAGACATTTTATTTTTTTGCTTAGGTCTGATTTTCGATTTATTTCCTGCCTTGGATGTGCCACGCAAAAGGGATCAAGAATTTGAGCGAACGGTTAAACAAGCAGCAAACGATATGTTTCTACAACCGGAAGATAACTTCATTCTCAAAGTTGTTCAATTAGAAGAATTATTAGAAGTTCGTCATTCTGTATTTATAGTTGGAAATGCTGGTACTGGAAAAACTCAAGTGTGGAGAACATTGTTCAAGAGCTATCAAAACGATAATAAGAAACCAATATATAACGATTTAAAGTAAGTAAACCAGTTCTATTGATTATCAAATAAAAATTCATATATTTCAATAATAATTGATACAATTTCTGTTCGCAGTCCTAAGGCGGGTAAGTATTTTTGTTCCAAATTATTTACACGCAAAGTTGATATAACTAATATTTTGTAATGGAATTCACAGTCACAAACGACGAACTGTTTGGTATTATAAATCCAGCCACTAGAGAGTGGAAAGATGGCCTTTTTTCTGTGATAATGAGAGAACAGGCAAACTTGGTCAACGATAATCCGAAGTGGATTATACTTGATGGAGATATTGGTAAATGTGTTATATTTTCTTTTCATACAAAGAATGTCCCAAAATTGGACTCACCAATATCCTGTTCCCTCGCGAGTAAAAAAGTATTTGGACACTTACTTCTATGTAGATTCGTTGTGGATTTATTGCCCGTTTACCTTTTTGGGTCCAAATACCTAGTTTCGGTAGATGACATACCGACGTGCCTCTCGACACACATTTATGGTTGAGGGCATGTTGGAAAGGTGTGATATTCCCCTACACAATGCATCCAAAATTGTGTAGAAAAAAATTCGTCGTAGTTGGTGGAGACAATGGATAACAATGCACGAATAAGGTCAAAACGCTTCCAAACAGCATGCATGTTGTTTATATGGTCAAAAGTGGTCAAATTCAGTTCTATAAATAGTAGGCCGGATCGATTCATGAAATGTTGAAAATTCAAAATGCGACATCTTGGTATCGATTTGTCTTGTCAAAACAAGCACTTTTTGTTCTGGGACTATCCTGGAAAATGCGCTCCTGTTTACCGCGAGCTGAATTCCCAAATGATGATTTTTTAGAAAATATTGACTCGAATCGACAAAAAATTGGATTTAAATTGACTGCAAACGCTTTCTTTTGGCATTTATTGGCCCGAGAAAAACGAATCAGGCGTTATTTTTGCGATTTAATGTCATTTGATGTTATTTGGGGTGTCAAAAGTGATTTTTTTTTGTTAAAAATGACAATACTTTGGAACAAAATTGAATTTTTGACACATAAAATGCCTCCAAAACGCAAAAATAAGGTCATTTTTGGAATCAGCGTGCAAAAATACATTAAAAATGAGTTTTTTGAAAATTCAGTGTGTGAATTTTTCGGAATTTTTATTGGGCCCCTTTATGACAAAAATTTGATTTTGCGAAGGATCGCTATCTACTCGGATTTGTAGGTCTATTTCATTGACACGCAATACAAAATAATGTAAAAATAAGACATTTTGACTTAATTTTCAACCAGGAATCCGATGGAAGTGGTTTTACAGTGATGCGAAATTATTTGAAGGTCGAAAAATGGGTCGGTATCCAGACATGTTTTCAACTCGTCATTTTTTGAATGACTAAAAGAAATGTTTCCAAATCAAAGCGTATGGCCTCTGCTCGCCGCCAAATCATGAAATACACTAAAAACAAGTAATTTGGAGGCTAAATAATGCGTAAAAGCCGAAGTACGATGCCAAG